CTGCCCTGCGCCACGTGACCTGCTTGGCGAGAGTTGAGGGCGGCTGCCGCATACGCAGTGGGGATGTCCGAGCAGCCCCTGGTGACTGGCTCGGCCGCGCTGCCCGAAGCGTCCTAGCTCCGCTCCGTTGTCGCGGTGAGGCGTCATCTCCGCTTGGTGCACGTCACGCAGCTGTGGTCATGGGCATCCACGGGGAAAAGCCTCCGGGCCCGTGCATGAGGAAGGCGCCCACGTGACGTGCCTTTTTCGGGGGTGCAGCGCCAGGAGCGGGTGTGCTGGTTTTCTGTGGCGCACCCTCGTACAGCGGGTTTCCACGCAAAAGCGGCTCACAAGAATATATGAAAGAATCGGGAACAAACTTTAAAAACGGGATCTCATTTAAAGGAGAAAAACGTGGGAAACTGGGGGGCTGCGGCCTGGGGGCAGACGGGTGGGGTGTGAGGGGCGCTGGGTGAGGACTGGCCATCGGTTTATAAATGGGGCCTGGTACAAAAACGGTTGAGAACCACCCTTGGCGACGTGGAGAGGGTGCACCCCCACCCCAAGATTGGCTATCTACCCCCTGGAAGCGCCAGCGCAACTTTAACTGCTAGGCTAAGGGAGGAGTTCAAGTCTGGTATTTTTCTGGTGATGCAAGCATTACATACTGCCTTTGATTAAGTCAGCATCCAGACTATTAATATTTTCCACGTCCTGAACATTTTGGCTACAGCCCCCTTTTTAAGATCTCCCCCGGGGACATCAGAAGAATAAGTCATCAAAAGCTTGATTTGATTTAATAAGGAATACATTATGTTAAATTTCCCCTCGTTGTTCTCAGCAGGTACAGCCAAAAAAATGCAGTTTAATCTTTTAGTCCTCATGGGTGATTCATCGTATTTTTGTCATCAGATGACTTTTGGAGCCAGAACAGATTTGAAAATCTAATGATGGTAAAATCCATATGAGAGTCTGAAATTGATGTAAATTAAATCAGATTGCGGGTGTACCAATTAAAGCGAAACTTATTTTTCTGAAATCCCAAGGTCTGTCAACATTAGCAGGAAGGCTGCTGTAGGCAGCTTGGTCGGCTTGCTGGCTCTGGCAGGCTGGTTTTGCTCCCTGAGGAGCTCCTCAGCCAGTCCTTCAAACAAACGCAGTCCAGAGACAGGCTGAAATAAGCAAACAAGTTAAACCATGGGCAGGCAATTATTCTGGCTGGAGGGCTGCTTAATGAGCTGCCAAGGGCTGCAAGGTTAGCCCCACCGCTTGACAGGTGAGCCACCCCCTAGTCGCCATCTTGGGACCAGAAGTCCTGCCCTTAACCCCTGACTTTTGCTATCAGAAGTCACTCCCCTTGCCCCTTCCCCTCCCAAAGTACTCCTTTGGGGAGGGGAGGGTTGGTATCTTGGAACCAGAAAAAAAACAAATATACTAAAAGTCAAACACCTACTATAACATTTTAATTTTATCACAAAAAAAATTGTGTCACTATTTGTGTTTGCATACTGTATATAGAGGTAATTGCATCATAACTCAAAAATAAGGTCTTACTCTTGTCTATTGTGTGTGGAGGGTGTGGTTGGGGGTAGGCGTGTGCATGTATGGTGGGGTGTGGGGGGTGTGACTATGTATGGGGGCAATAGGGTATGTTGGGCTGTATGTATATGGGGGGGTTGGGGTAGGGTTTGGGTGTGTGGCATTTGTGGAGTGAGGGGGGTGGGGGGACCCCCCCACATTCCCCCGCTATGGTGCATAGCCTCTGCTGCTGGTAGCAGCAGCAGCAGCAACAGGTGGGTGTTAGGGGTATTTGTGGCCCACGCAAGTGCTGCTGCCTGGCAGCACATAGCTCCAGCCAGCACTGCATGTGGTAGTGAGGAGCACAGCCAAGCTGGCCTGCCTTTATTGTGTGGGCTCCCAGTAGCATGCATGCAGCTCCTAGCACTTGCGTGCCATCAAGGGAAGCCCTGTGCGATGGAGCTGGCTGCCTTTGCTGCTTCTTGCAGTGCAAATCCCGGGACTCTGCCAGAAGTGGAGGGGAGCCCCAACCCCTGCTTCCTGCAGGAGTCCCAGGACTTGCACAGCAGGGGGGGCAAAGGCTGCCGGCTCCGTGTGGGGCTTGCCCTGATGGCATGCAAGTGCCAGGAGCTGCGCACGTACTGCAGAGAGCCTCGTGCAATAGCGGCAGGCCAACTTGGCTGTGCTCCTTGCCGCTGTGTGCAGTATAGGCTGAAGCCGTGTGCTGCTGGGCAGCAGCACCTGTATGGGCCACAGGTGCCCTGAGCACCCACCTGCTGCCTGCTGCTGCTGCTGCTGGTGGCAGGAGTTGTGCACCATGGGGAAGTGGAGGGGGGAAGAGGGGGGTTCCTCCCCACTTACACCCACACCCTGCCCACCCAAGTTCCATGTTCCCACCCCCACCCTGAGAGCAGGCTCCATGCTTCTGCCAGCTCCATGCTCCACACTCCCACCCAGCTGCAGTTCCCCTCCACCAGCCCGTGCTACTTCCCTACCTGGTGCCCAGAGCAAGCAGACTGGGATTCCAGGGAAACTGAGCAGATCCCCTGGCAGCTGTAGCAGTGGCAGCCTCATCTGGAAGGTGCATGCTGGCTGGGCTGGGCCTTTTCACACAGGAGGGTGGGAGTGAGGTGTGTGGGCTGGGTGAGTTACAATTAGTTGGTGGGCACCCATGACCAGATGAAATTACAGGCTGTATTTTGACCAGTTGGTGGGCACCAGATGAAATTGCAGGTTGTATTTTGCCTGGCCCCGCATTAAACACTTCTGCTTTGTCCCAGACACTGGTGGAAGATCTTTTTGGCCTTGGCTCCCAGGACAGCAGACTGGCTCCTTCTGGCAATAAGCAGCAAAATTCACCACTTACTTACTGCTTACCTAGAAGCTTTGTTATACCTCCTAGCAGGACACTCCCTTTCTATCCAAAAGTCCAGCTGCCAGGCAGTCTCAACCAGGCTGCTTAGTCTCTTGTAAACAGACTGCCCTGTTACAGCTGGCCTTAATGGAAGTGATTGCATCTTAGTTTTTTTAACCTCTTTCTAGAGGGGCAAGGACTTATGCTGTCACAATGGAGAAATGTGTTTTAGTACCAAGGAAATATCATTACAATGCAAAAAGTGAACTAATTTTTCATTAAACATCATTCCTATTCTGACTTCTATATTGCACTGATGTCCAAATAATATTCTGCATAAAACTACACTTTTCACATCCTTATTAGTAGTGCTGTTCTCCATTCCTACTACTATAAAATAAGAAAAATGCATATAGGCAGTAAGATATATACAGATTATGCAGTCTTCAGTCTTGTATCACTGCAGTCAATGAGTGTTCCACTGATATCAGCACATATGGCATCAGATTGTCTTTCAGCAAAGTGTACAAGGATGGTAAGGGCTAATTCATTAAATGGTACTTACGCATGTGCTTAACTTCAAGCAGGCATTTAAGTGATTTAGAGTCCATGTGACAAGCATATAATGATTACACTATAATTAGAATGAAATTATAGCTGTCCAATGTTTCAGCTATCTTATTAATATTTCAAGTAGCATCCAGTACCTTGTTCTAGGCATTGTAAAATGCATGGAAAAAACAATTCTGATACCTTTGATTTTAGGATCCAAGGCAAGGGTGCTCAACCCTTGGCCCATGGGCTAGAACCAGCCTTCAGCAATATGGGCTAGGGACAGACATTACACACAAACCAGTTTAAGTGATCAGAAACTGATTGAAACCTGTAACAGAACAGAAGTTCAGCGCACATAAACCAGTTTGAAAATGGCTGAAACCAGTTTGAGATAAATCTGGTTAAATGTAGTATCAGACTTAACTGATTTGGGTCAAACCAGTTTATGCAATGTCTGTCCCAGACCCCTTTCTGGTTTAACTTAAATCAGAGTCCCCCAGCATCCCAGCATGCTCTCTGGGCCAGACAGGGCTCTCTGCTCCAGAGAGCTGGGCTGGCCCCTCCCCTCTGCTCCTTGGCTGCAGCTCTGGCAGAGACTGCACATACAGGGAATCTGCCTGGCTTGCTCCTAATCTGCAACTCTCCCCCATACCACTCCCTGCTGAAGCAGGGATACCCTCTCCCCTCTGCCTTACACAGACACCTCTCAGCATTAGCTAGCATACCACTTGCTGGCTACAGTCTATGCTGTGGGAGACGGGATAAAGGCAGACAGGACTGTGTCAGCTTAGGTCTCTTTGGAGCTAATCAATAGGCAGCTATTAATGTCCCTCTGTTCCTTCCTTGTAAAAGCTGTTTAAGAAGAGCTTGAACTAATGGAGAGAGGCAGTTGTTTTCTGAATGAGCTGATAAACACTGAGTTAGGGGTGATAAACACTGTTATCAACTCCCTGCTGGGCTGCTCAGGAGGGGGAAGAACCCCTCCCTAATCGGAGCATCCTGTGGGGCCAGGCCATGCCCCTCTCAACTCAGCTCTGTGGAAGGGAATGGAGGGCTGCTCCCCCTCCCCGCCTTCTAGCTTGAGCCACTGCAGGCATGTGCCTGCATTTCTTCAGTCCAGAGGCAAAGTCTGTACAGTTACAAAGCGGTTTAGCTTAGCTAGGTTAAACTAACCTACAAAGATTGAATCAATTCCAGGTCAGGCTTTGTGAATGTCTGTCTCTAGCCACGATGTCCAATCTCTGGAACTCCCTAAGGGTCTGGAAATTGGCAGCAGGGGAGCAGAAGTCCTGAGGTCCTCATAAGGTGTCTGTGTGCGCCAGATTGTGCTAGTAAACAGCCATGCACATAGGGTCAGGGTGGTATGCTGGATCTTACCCATGGCTCAACCTCATGCACTGACCCAATTCAGGATCCAGCCCATAGACCGAACCTGTGCCACTCATCTAGATAGTGGGGCCAGAAGGTTTGAGTACCACTGATCCAGGGCCCTGACCCTGTGAACATTTAGGCAACTATAACCATTACTCTTTGTTCATAAGAGTAGTTTTCTTAATAGAACTGTTCATGTGATTCAATGCCATTATTGGTTAGAATAAAATTAGGTACTTGCCTTTATTTTTTGCTGGAACTGGGCCTACAGACTGACAGACATAGCAGGTGACTGTAATGAACAAGCAAGATGGATGAGAGAGCTCCATCATCTTAGTTTTGTTTAGCAAATTGAGGCACTGTGACTAAA